TTTCGATTTGCTCGAAGAAGACTGATCAAAACATGGATATCAATGAGTAAACAGTTTATCTTGAGTTTATACAATATCGAACTGTTTAAGGACTGATCAGTAGCTGATCCTATCTGGTGGAATAACATTTGAAGATATCATTTATCTACACCCATCCAGAAAAAGTGGCGTTTGTTAGAGTTATGAATTCACTGAAAATAACTTAACGAGACTTATGCATGTTCGATTTTCGATGAGAGATGAAGCTCTAGTTTTCTGTAATTGTATTTCCAATCAAGCACTGCTTTCGCACTAGATATCCTACATCAATCAGTATCTTATCGTATCATATTACTTGCTCTTGTCTTGTTAGCTGCGCAATTTAGCGATCGTTGAATCTGAATGAAATAAAATTTCACAATTAGATTGAGAGCGCAGTGTACCTGCAATGGATATAACATGGCTTGCAAAGTTGGTATGATCTGAGTATGCGTTTTATGCCAAAGGTCCGACAGAGCCGTAACATTGTGTTCATCTAAAATAGTGTCCAGATCCGAGGTGGCACATTCGAACGCTTTACAAGCGTTGTTCTCCATTGCAGCCGGGATAGCACTCTGAAAGTGACATCTGTGGTTAAGATTTGCCTTTTGCTTGATATGGTTTCTTGTTGATGATTAGGGTGTGTTTGTTTTTGGAATAAGACTTCCACCCTCCAAGGAATCCGGATTAATAATAAAGTCGACTTCGCAATATCAGAAACTTGCCATCCAATAGCCATTGGTGCACTCAGTGCTATTGGATCATCCTTTTGGGATGTTGACATGAGTGCTGAAACTAAATACCCCTCCAAAGTTTTCAAAAAGCTCGCTCTTCAAACATTCCGCAATTGACATCAAACACTAGCAAGGCAATTGTTTCCTTTTCAGATTGTTTGCGATTGCTTCCTTTTTTACGAAAAAAAAAACCATCGCATTTTGCTAATTCGGTGTCAACGAAAGACATTCCACGCAGTTTCCACTCTTGATAAGATATGGATCAGAAAGAAAAATTAATGTTTGTGATTCACAGTGTATTATGCAAAAAAACTTTTGCTTATCGTTCTGCACAAATCACACCATATCAACGCCATTCCTTAAATGGCTTCTTATAATCGTCATTCATACGCAAACCGGAAAAAAACACAGCAACATAAGGACTGAAATTTGTGCGCTGCTCCCCGTAGTCAAAAGACTGTGCTTAGCATGACCTTTTACAGTAGATTACAAGCTTCTGTCGACTTAAAAAACAGCCTAAGTATGATGTTCATGTTGACAAATTTCTACATCGTGTGCAAGTTCTTATGGGAGACGTCACCATCAAAAGTATTAAAACATAAACAATTTAATCCGAAGATGAATTCAAGTGATGTGAGTTCCACATGCAGATCGGCTTATGAAAAAAACTGCAACGCTTGATTTCATCTGATATCACGAGACGCAAGACCAGAAAGTCACGAGACCAAGAGCAAAATTTTTTTCTGATAAGCATCTGCGGTGTTCACATCAGTTTCAGGCTTGTGAATGTGATCAACTCTAACAGATCATGAACAACAGAATTCAATTTAAGGCGCCATATCGCTGCTGTGATATACATATCAGTTGTCAAGGACATGACTCTTTTTTGCGACGTCTTCATCTTGCTGATTTTTCTCATAGCACTATGAGCAACTTCAATCGAATCCATTGTTTCAGTACTATCAGAAGCATGAAGAAGCAAATTTGCCCAGCAAAAAAACGATAACATGCATGTAATCGGTCATAAAATGTTGCCACATCAATGATCAAGACACTTCTAAGTGTTCAAGTGAATCCTTGCGAAAAACACTTCACTGATCAAGAATCAGTGCTGTCAGATGGGGAAGTGGTTGACTGGAGAGAAGACTCCTAGGACGATGATTAGATATGCCAGAGGAAGAGATGGACGCACGGAAGTCGGATAATTAATGTGGGATCCATCTCATACCAATTATCACGATTATCGTGAAGGGTGAATGAAATCAAAGACAAGTAGTAGATCTTTTTAGGGATTACATTATAAGTTGAATATCAGTGATGAGAACTTATAAACTTAATTAAATTTTGCGTAACTGTTGAATTTATAATAGTTGTCAGCATTTGATTGTTGTTATCAATGCTTACTGCTTGTTCAAGCAATTGTTGGTATCAGAAATAAAGAAAATGATGCACGAAGGCAATATAAAACATTTAACGTTTAAGGTTAAAAAAAGATACACTTCGAAAAAATTCCAAAGAACTGGTACACTAGTGCTAACCTGAGTTATAAATTGAATAAGGGCAGTCCTTTTAGCGGCCTGCATTTTTGCTATGGTCATTGCTAGCGAATGCCTGGCCGTATCGTCGAACTCAGCACCTTGCAGAGCAGTGATCAGTTGAAGTTGACAACTGAAATTTGATCATTTCATAGGTCATTATCACTCCGATCCAGTATCGGTTAGCCTCAATAGTGAGCTTGAACTGAGCCGCCGAGGAATTTCTTATGATTTCGATAGGATCTCTACTCAATGCGACTGCCATAAGCAGAAAAGAATCAATCATTTGCACACACCAAAGTGGATCGTTCAAAGTGTCCACTGGCGATTTCGGTGGTGGTGAGTCGGAGTGCGATGAAAATCTTCTCAGATGCTTGAGCGGTGAAAAAGCTGAAAACTTCCTGTTGATTGTGAGAAATTACACTGGTTAAAGGGCGATCGCTTGATAAACAAATTTGTATAAAACCTTGCAAACCTAAATAATTTCAACATTTCAAATTTCGATCGAAATTTGTAGATGGTTCATGAGAACGTAAGAATCATGAGAAAAGAGATCAATGAAAGCATGAAGCTAACTCACTCATTGTTGTGGGATGGCCGGTGACGAACATTTTCTTCTTGTGAATAAAGTGTTGGACTTCCAGCTAAGTTGACAGCTTGACTTGAAATGTAAAACTATCAACGACTGCGTCGACAGTTTATCAATGCTGTTTCATTCGATATGCGATGAGCATTTATATATGCGTTGCTGCATTTGAGCGTGTTATAGGTAAGAGAAATTTTGTGACGATTTATATTGCGTTTAGTGAATGATTGCGATTTCTTATCAGTTGATTATGATGATTCTATTGCTGTCTAATTTCTCTGGTGCCATTTCCAACACATCCTATCGTATCGTTATCAGTTTATCAATTCATTCGGTTGTTCAGTGTTTGTGACTAGAATGCAAACACAACGACAACGATGAGATGAGTTCTATGATATCGTCGTCATTCTATTGGGCGATTACTCGTCGTGCATTCATATATCCCAGTAGGCGTTCAAATGCGACTCATCTAGTAGAATACAAATACCTAATGTAAGCAAATGCAACAGCAAAACATCATATCTAGTCATGCTTAGGCTTCGATAATTCCCTAATGTTGTATTCTGGTATCGGTTCAAATATAAGCGATATTTCCAAGTTGCATTTGAAATTCAGGGCTTCTTGTCGGAGTGTTCAAGATCTCATACAATTCAAAATAGTATTTGTTGAGCAATATAATACATACGAATATGCAATGGATGATTTTGAAAAAAAAATCAGCGATCACAGCGCACAATTTCAGCATAAAACATAACATCAAATCATGTAAAAGTTTGATATGAGTATTTTGTAATTTGTTCAGAACGATTCAAACACCATTTGAGAATGCCACCGTAAATGTTTCCAAATACGCCTCAAATGATGGTTCATTATTTGAGGCGTAATCCTTAATGTTTGGTTCGTTAGCGAAGTGAAATCGCATGTAAACAACATTACAAGTAAGCCATTTTTTGCATCGGAAACTCAACGTGATTCGAAAATTCTGCTGACGAATGTTATCAGTGATCTGTGATTCGACAACGGAGAAGAGGTGACGAGAAAATTTTGATCACAATTTATGATCAGATTGATTCCTACTACCTCACGAGCAGCAATCCTTAATCATTAATCTTTACCCTTTAAAGCAACAATTCTTAATATCTCTTGAAAGTCACCAGTTGCCTTTTCGGCTGAAAAAGCGACTCAGACCGATCGATCGACCTGAAGCTTTCATCTAACAAAAACTTTAACTGATCAAGCAAAGCAATTTTCGAAGAGACAATGATGCTTAGGGGAGAGCAGTTCAAAATTTGCAATTTTTATCCACATATTGTAATTTACAATATCTATAAACTATATTGCAAGGAACCACGAACTGATAGTGAGAAAGCAGAAATCCAAAGGAATCGCTACTGATGAATAATTGTTTATAGAAAATGACGTTGATAAAATAGGCGAAAGAACCTCTCAAAATGTAACGGTGGTTTGTAAGAACATGTGGAACGTGTTCATGATTGAACTCATTCCTCGTTCACTAATACGCCCTTATATACCTCATCTTATGCTCAAAAAACAGCAGAATAACAAACTAATGAAGCCCAAATTCTATAAACAACATGAAGAACACTAAAAAAAACTCTACTCTTGACTCATCAACAAACGCCAGCTCAATATCAGATCAAATCCAGCATCGTAAACATTAGTCGTCAAGGAACAACGCGACAAACGCAATACTCTCGGATAATGTGAACACTACGAATCGCCCACAACAAACAAATGCTGCTGCTGAATCGTTTAAAAATGTCAGTGAGTGGAATGAAATCTAAAAATAACCAAAATAATCAATTCGAATACAAGAACAACACTGAAACGTAAACGTAAAATGTGCTCGAAAATATCCATTTTTTCGGCAATGTTTGGGAATGCATTCAGTAACATTTGATTATATTCGGTTGAATGAGCCAGCCAGCAGCCTTAACATGCGCATATGAAACACAATGAATGAGTCGAGCAACTGAGCTTCATGGTCAAACAAACAAGCCGACTGAATACAGAAACAAGAAAACAAACATGATAAATCAAGTAATGTTGCTTAAGGCCAATAATAAAGCAGAAAGGATGCTGCACATACACACACATGTGACAACATATAAATGGTAACGAACAATGAAATGCTGGTTTTATGGTGATATTGTTTGATATTTGCGTTCGAGAGTACATGTGAGAGCGTGTTACCGAGACTCAATGAAATCATCGTGTAAGATGCACGAATACAGAGTATCTCCTATGGGCTGGCTGGCTCATTTGAATTTTCTCGTTGAATTGCTGATGAGAACAATCGAAAATGAACTAACTGCATGGGCTGAGCAAATATGGAAGCAAATATTGGAGAATTGGAACAGTGAAACATTGCGGATGTTTCCGCTAGCTGCGAGATTACTTTTTGGGGCACTGAACAATCCATTGCTCTAGATGTGATGGTATTACTATCAGCAACCACGTCGAACGTTAAAAGTCTTGATTCGATGATACTATCAAGAGCTTTATACGACGGTTTTGATCAAACATGTGCTATGTTTTGATGGACTTGATGAAAGACTTTCAGAGGGTATTCATTAAGTTCAATAATATTTGCGCTATTGGGATGGAGTTCAATGGAAAATCGTTGAACAGTGACTCATAAAAGCACTTCTAAGTGGATAACATGACGAACTTTGAGAAAGGTCAATATATTGAGAAATTCACTGGAGATCATTGATCATGGGTTCGAAGAGACTTCCGAACTGAAAATACGGGTTGATCTTAGAGAAGTCAAAATAAGTTTCCAGTTTCTATTCATAAGTCCACTAACGGAAATGTGATGTCTCATCGTAGTGAAACGAATGAGTCAGGTAAACAACTCATTTGTGAACTCTTATTCATAACTGTTCTATGCTTCATAGATTTACAGGATGTGATTGATACGATAACATCAAGGAGTAGAATGGTGACGCGATTAGTATGATAATATCGAAGTATCACGTTCGTTGTCATCTTATCTCAGTACTTGACCAGATTGGAGCTCGTAATTCCACTTTCAACGATCAATCACTGATTAAACACAAATCCAACAAACTGAACTTAATGAGTCTACAGTTAATATGAACTCATGGTAGGAATTCTATTGCTACGATAGTTCTGTGCAGAATTCCCTGGTAACTTTAAAGATTGCAAAGAATTCCAAAAGCTTCAAATGTCCCATCGGCTTCCTACAAGTACCATGGAATCCATGAAATACCTTCGAAGTGCCGGCCTCTATCGAAGAGGTATGGATTCATCCGCAGGTCCAATAGCATATGTTCCAAAGCTTCAGACAAATGAATCCTGTTCAATTCGTTGCAACTGCAGAAAATTAGAAATTCTGCCAGTCAAGCTATCGTCACCAACGAGCTGCACTTGTTTC